GAAACAAAGGAGGAGGCAACAATGCTTGATAAGAAATGTACTCATTACCTTGCTCATGTAATTGTAACCCCTCTGTACGGTATTTTCACAATAAAAAAAGAAAAAAGGGACCAGAGAGTCTCTGTCCCCCTGCAGCCCAGGGCACCTCCCCTGGGGTGTGGTGGGAAGATGGGGGACAAGAGGAAAGGCCTGCGTCTGGGTAGACACTGGTGACATGCCACGTTGTGGGGGCACTTACAGTCCACGAGACCCAGCTGGTCATTGACAAGTCCCAGCACCACGTCCACGATGGGGCAGAGCTGTGGGGAGAGGGTGTGGAGTTCTGGTGAGTGGCAGCTGGACCAGGCTGGCCTGTGCCAGGGCGTGGCTGGGGGCCCAGGCTCTCAGCTGGGAAATAGATTCATTCCAGAGGTGTTGCCACCTACCTCGTAGGATTGGCCAGAGCTCCCTGAAGTTCATGCACCTCCTCTTTATCCAGAGCTCTGTCCCCTCGTGCTCCCCAGGGTCCTCCCAAACCCCCACAGATTGCCAGACTTCTAGAACACCAGTGCCCTCCGGGGAACGTGGCCCCCTGGTCTGAGATCCAAGTGCCCTGCCTGCTTGTTCTTACCAAGTCAGGGAGGACGTTGGCCAGGACTCGGTTGACGAGGTTGTCCACGAGGTTAGGGAGAAGGCTAGAGAGAGAGGAGCAGGCTAGGGGTCATGGAGGGGCCCAGGGCTGTCCTCACCCCAGTGTTGGGTCCAGGCACAGTATACTCCTCCCCCTGTTCCCCCAGGACAGGCCACCAGCAAAAAGAAAAAAAAAGGCTTTTCATTCATTCATTCATTCGACAAAGAAAAGGTGCGGAGGCTTCCAGCAGACAGGGGCAGGGGTGAGTGGGAATGTTGATGGCTTGTTGCTGCCAAGTCCCCTGAATAGTGCCACATGCTGCAGCCACCTTCCTGTTCCCAGAGGGCAGGGAGCACGTGGTTTTATCCAGCTTTGTACCTGGAGGGGGTAGGGCACTCCGTAAATGCTTGTAGAAGATACAGAGGAGAACTTTAGGTTGCAGGAAAGGATGGGTGTTAAAAAGACTGGGGGATATGGCCCATTTTACAGGCAAGGAAACTGAGGTCCAGCCCTTAAACACTTCTCCAAAGCTGTTAGCAAAGGAGGAGGGTAGACCTCAGAGAGGCAAGATACACAAATGGGCGAATGGACACAAATCCAAGAACTCAGAGAGAAGCATGACCAGGCCAGTATTTAAGCATCCCTGCTGCACTCGCTCCTGAAAATCCATTCCCCATCCCCCCTCCAGAGCCCCCTGGGCATCTCCACGCTGGGTTCCAGGCTGACAAAGCAAAGAATTGCTTGAGGTAAAGTCTTAGAGTGTGTCCCTAAATCTGACCACATGTTTTTAGTCCTCTTTTTAAAAGGCGATTTGTCTTAAGGGGGCTGAATATAGAGTTCTCTCTCTCTCTCTGTCTCTCTCTCTCTGGGTCTGTGTGCAATGACATCTATAAAAGATCATTCATTGTCACAGTAGGATGTGCCCAGCAATAATGGGCTGGGCAAAACAGGGGTGGTTCACCTAAGCAATGGAATAGCACGCAGCCATAAAAAGTTAAGTAACAGGACACATTTGATATTTAGAAAATTCAAAGAAAGGAGATAAAAGAAGCAAAGTACAAAATTGTTTAGAACAGTTGTGTATTTGTTCAAAAAGGTGGTGGGATTGGAGGGGTGAGGGAGAAGTGGGAATGTGGCTCAAGTGGTAGAGCTAGTGGGTTGGAGGGCCAGAATTCAAGTTCTAGGAGAGAGAGGGGAGGGGAAGGGAGGGAGGAGGGGGGAGAGAGAGAGAGAGAGAGGGAGAGGGAGAGAGGAAGGGAGGGAGGGGGGAGAGAGAGAGAAATGGTAGTCTACTTAAGTTTGCTTTATGTGAACAAAGAAATTAGAAGAAGACTTAGGAAGCCATGAATCAGGATGAGCTTGTTGGAGAGAACAGAAGAGATGGCAGAGAAAGGACTCGCTCTCCCTCTGCCTTTCAGCACTATGGCTTGAATTCAGAACCTTGAACTCACTCATCTGGCACTCTATCCCTTAAACTATACCTCAAGCCCAGCTTTTTGCTGGTTATTTTGGAGATTTAGTCTTGCATTCTTTGCCCAGGCTGACCTCAGATCCATGAAGCTCCAGATTTCGGCCTCCTGAATGGCTAGAATTACAGGTGCAAGCCACCAGTTCCCGGCTCCTTTTATACTTTTGAGCCACACATTACCAAATATGTTTCCTAGTGAACTGAAGAGTCTGAGCTTTTTAGTTTTGGACCCTGGGGCCTCATTTTCCTTGCCCTGCCCAACATTGAAGCAGAAACAAAGACCAAGTGATGCCCAAGAGAATATGAAAGACTGGAGTCCAAGTTAATCAGTGAAGTTTTCTGCTCCTGAAGCTGAGATGAAGGCTGGAGGATTGGGCCAAGGGCAAGAGAGGAGGGGGAGGAGAGGGACAAGAGGTCTGAAAGGCAGAGGTGGAGAGGGGCCTCCTTGGATGAGGGTCAGGGGAGGAAGAGGAAGGAACTGGGGTGTGAGCTTTCTTTCTTTCTTTCTTCCTTCCTTTCTTTCTTTCTTTCTTTCTTTCTTTCTTTCTTTCTTTCTTTCTTTCTTTCTTTCTTTCTTTCTTTCTTTCTTTCTTTCTGTCGATCGGTGGGGGCTGAACTCTGGGCCTGAGCGCTGTCCCTCAGCTCTTCAGCTCAAGGCCAGCACCCTACCACTTGAGCCACAGTGCCAATTCCGGATTTTTTTCTGCTTATGTGGTGCTGAGGAATCGAACCCAGGGTCTCATGCATGCAAGGCAAGCACTCTACCACTGAGCCACCTTCCCAGCCCTGATGTGAGCTTTCTTGAGAACACAAGGCCACAACCTGAATATGGCATGGTGGGAAATGCCCACCCACCTGAAAGCCCTCTGGACAGAGGGTGTGGTCTCACCCCTCTGAGAGGATGTGTAGCTCTGACATACATGGTATAGACTCCAGTAGACAAATCCCTGCAAGCTCTGGGCATTGATGGACACATAACTGCTGCTAGACATATTTCCCCAAAACTTCTACAACATAGCAGAATCTGCACTGGCAGCTTTCCATTCTCTAAGTTCTTAAGGGGGGTGAGGAGGGTGAGAGAATTTGCCCTCATTTCACAGACCAAAAAAAAAAAAAAAGAGGCTCAGAGAGGGCAACAGTCACAAAGCAAAGAATAGCGGAAACAAGATTTGAATCCAATATGTGCCTGAGCATATAGACCTATGCTGTCTGAAACCCACATCCTGCCCTCAAAGGGCCAGGTCTTGAATTCCCACTAAGCAAGTGGACCAGACCAGAGCCAGAGGGAGAGAGGATAGTCCGGTGTGGGTCATCACTGCCTCCACCATGGCAAAAGAGACGAGAGCCATTGTGTTTGCCAGGGACCTCTTCTGGCCCTCTCCCAGGCCCTCCATGGCCCACGGATGCTCACCCCCGCAGGAGCTTGACCTTGATGCCCCCCAGCAGGGTGTCGCAGCGCTCGATGACTAGCCTCGGGTAGCCTGCGCGGTCCATGGTCAGCCGGACCTTGGCTGTGATGTTCACCTCCACTGCGATGTCCAGGAAGCCAATGAGACTGCGGGAGACCAAGGGGCCAGCCAGCCAGATGGCAGGTCACACCCCAGCTGCCAGGCACGGATCTGCCTGGCACCTCAGGCTAGGGTCCAGCTCTTTCTGCCACCTGTCAGACCTTGTGTGTCTACAGAGGCAGCACGAGTGGGAAAATGTCTCTCCCTCTCTGCCTAGACTGAGATGGGTCCGTATAGATTGGTATCCAAGAGAACCAGCCAGGCACCTAACTTTGTAGACATAGCCTGATCCCTGAGAGCAAATCTATGCCAGTTAATAATAATGATAAATAACAATAATAATAATAGTAGTAGTAATACATGGCAGGTGCTACAGACAATCTGCCTGTAGCCCTCACTGCCCAGAAGAGAATCCCCCATGTGGGAGAAGCCACTAAGGCTCAGTGACATTGGGAGATGGTTCTAAGGTCACAGTTTGGAAGAATCAGGAACAAAGCCAAGGCTGCCCCTGAGTCTAACTGCCTGCCCTGCTAACAGTGTCCCAAGACTGACTTGGGGTCAAGCCGCTGGGTCTTCCTGCTCCTTGAATTGCAGGTGCAGACACCAAGCATTGAGAAGGGAGAATGCTTGCTCTAGGGAGGGGTAGGCGGGGGGGGGGAAGGGGTCCCTGGGACCCCCTGGAGAGGGAAAGACCCTCACCTCTTCCCGTTGATGGCCACGCGGGTATACAGACTCAGGTAGACGCCCACGCCAGGCAGGAGCCGCACGGACACCCTGGGCAGGGTCAGCTCCACGATGCGCAGCCTGTGGGAAGGAGAGTGGTGAGAAGGCCACTGCCACTACTCGCTCACCCCAAGGGCCTCCTTCTGGGTCCCTTCTCTGCTCCTGGGCTTTCCCTCAGACTCCAGCGACACCTGGCTTCATGGACCTATGGAATCCACAGAGGTTAAGGGTGGAACATGGTACCATCCATCGACTCACTGCCTGAGACCCACTGCTTGCATTTTGATATATTTCCTTCTAAATCGTTTTTGTGTTTTGTTTTGTTTTTATGGCGCAGGTCCTGGGGCTTGAACTCAGGGCCTAGGCCTTGTTCTGAGCTTCTTTTGCTCAAGACTAGTGCTCTGCCACTTGAGCTACAGCTCTACTTCCAGCTTTTTTTGTTGGTTAATTGGTTATAAGTCTCATGGACTTTCCTGCCCAAGGTTAGCTTCAAACTACAATCCTCAGATCTCAGCCTCATGAGTAGGTGGTAGTACAAGCATAAGCTATTAGTGCCCAGCTCCTTTGAATCCTTTTTCTCTGCCAAGATGTCCCCCTCCCTGACTTGTGTCTGCTTCTCTACCTGGGTCACACCTACAGCCTTCACACTTCAATGACAGCCTCCTGCAGGAGGCCATCTGACCTCCCCCATTTTGCATGTTCTCCCACCCATGACTGGACAGCTAGCTTCTCCCTTTATCCACGCCCCATCTAAGCCCCAAGCTCCTCAGGCCAGGGCTGTGTCTTTTCCGCTGACCATTAGCTCTGTCCCCAGTGCCAACAATAAGTGCATGTCATAGTTGATGAGTAGGCCACAGTGGTTGGACATAGTTGAAATAAGATAATAATAATAATAGATTCTCCTATAACATATGAAATTAGACAGTAAGCTATGTATGTGGCATAATGGAAATCTTTGGGCTTCTCCTACTTACACTGTAAGACTCTGAGATTCAGAGAGATAGAAAGAATGACCCAAGAATTCAAACCATGCCACAGAGGCCTCTTTAGAGAATGCTAAAGTCTCTCTCTGTCTCTCTGTCTCTGTCTCTGTCTCTCTCTGTCTCTGTCTCTCTCTCTCTCTCTTTGGTCAGTCATGGGGCTTGAAGTCAGAGATTGGGTGTGCCCCTGAGCTCTTTTGCTCAAGGCTAGTGCTCTACCACTTTGAGTTGTAGTGCCACTTTGGGTTTTCTGGTGATCACTGGAAGTAAGAGTCTCTTGGAGTTTCCTGCCTAGGCTGGCTTTGAACCTCAGATCTCAGCCTCTTGAATAGCTAGGATTACAGTCGTGAGGCACCCACACTGGAACTAAAGTCACTCTTGAAGGCCACCTCTCCCTGGAAGCCTCCGGGAGTGATGTTCCCCCATTTGTGGGGCCCCACCCCAGGCCAAGCCCAGCCCCTGCTTACCCGGTAATTCCTTGCACAGTGCTCAGGATGCCACCTTCACCGAGCACTCCCAGAACACCTCCTCCTCCGAGAAGTCCTCCATCGCCAAGAAGACCACCTCCACCGAGCAGGCCACCTTGGCCTGACAGGATGCCGTCCGTGGCCAACATGCCCCCGGTGCCCAGCAAGCCCCCAGGGCCCAGTGCTCCGGTGGCCAGACCTGGCGGGAGCTCCCCAGGCCGCAGATCCCGCCGCAGATCCCGCCGGCGGCGACGCCTGGGCCCGGTGCCCGAGCCAGCGGCCGACCTGTACCGCCCGTAGTCCCTGTGGGCGCTGTAGGCATAGGGGCTGCGGGTATAGTAGTGGTCCTGGTCGCTGCGGAGGTCCCGGATGCTGCCGTCGGGCTCCAGGATCTCCCCGTAGCGGTATTTGCCCCCCAGCTGGGCGGTGTTGTCGTTGGTCTCAATGAGACCGTATCTGTAATTACCACCGAGCTGTTTGCCATTGGTATACATGGGGGGAGGTTCTCGAACATGGAAGTCGTTGTAGGGTACGCCACCGACACCTCGGGGAAATTCAGCGCGTCTGTAGTCACTGGAGTGGTGTTGGCCACCGCCCAAGGGACCGCCACCCAGCAGCCCCCCACCACCACCCAGCAGCCCCCCACCATGGCTACCACCGCCACCCAGCAGCCCACCACCACCTCCTAGCAGCCCCCCACGATGGCTACCACCACCTAGCAGCCCCCCACTGTCACCCAGCGGCTCCTCATCATGGTCATCATCACCACCCAGCAGCCCCCCACCATGGCTACCACCACCACCCAGCAGCCCCCCACCACCCCCTAGCAGTCCCCCACCATGGCCGCCACTACCACCACCCAGCAGTCCCCCACTGCCACCCAGCAGGCCCCCACTGCTACTGCCACCACCACCTAGTAAGCCTCCACCCAACAGGTCACCACCACCCCCTCCTTCCCCGCCACCAAGCAGGCCCCCGAGAAGCCCTCCTCCCCCACCACCGCCACCTCCACTTCCACCAAGCAGCCCCCCCAGGAGGGGTCCGCCACCATCACCACGGGCTTTACCCATGGGGACTTCCCTCAGGGCTGCACGGACAACATCTTTGTGCTGCAGCGTGTCGGAGATGGCTGTGGAGAGTGGGGGATATCTGTCAGTGTCTCCCTGTCCTCCACCCTACGTAGCCAGACCTGGGGGTGGGGGCAGGGGTGGCTCACTTCCCACCCCCAGTAAACGGCAGATCTCTCTGGGTCCATGCAACCCTAACCCGTAGTGAATGCACTAAGGGTTACGTTTGCCTGGTTCACACCCATCAGTCAATCCTTGGCGGACTTTTCTTTGTTAGCCTCCTCTCCCCCTGTTCCTCACTTGATTGCTTATAACATCTACTTCCTCGGGCATTAGCAATTGCTAGAAGACAGTCAGGGCCAACGTTATGGGTGAAGACACTGAGGCCTGATGAAGACACTGAAGACAAGGGCGGCCTCTCAGAGAGAACTAATCTTCATTTTACCCTCACTGTAGCCGCAGGCAGGGGTGGGGCAGGGAGAGACTCCTCACTGCCCCAACAACTAAGTGGAGGACCTAAGTAAGGATGGGAGGCAGGAAGAATGTCAGCCTCGCATCTGATGGCCTCTGTGCACCGGCAACCATGCTGGCCGCCATCGGTCATTGGATTCTTACGTTAGCCCACTTTTCCAAGAAGACAAGTCAGCCAATCAAGACTTGAACCTCAAGTTCCTAATCTCACTTCCTGTGGCCTCAAGTCGCCAGCCTGTTGCCCAGGGGTGTCCCATAAGTCCCAGGAATGGTAGCTGAAAGGAAAAGGGGGAAACTAAGGCCCAAAGGGGAGAAGTCACCTTGCCCCTAAATGGGAGATCCAGCAGGGAGAGTCCGTGAGTATTTGGGAACTGGTTGACCCGCCTTCCCCACCCCAAGCCACCCCCTTCAGGTATGAACTCACCACTGCTCAGCACATCTTTTGTAACTCTGAGGACCGTGTTTGTGTTCGGTTTTTGCGTGTGGACAACGCTCACCGCCACCGTGAACAGAACAGCTGCCGTCCACATGTTGGTACTGCTTCCCTGCTTCTGCTGAGGAGATGACATTCTGCATGGCTGTGCCCCGGTGCTGCCACCTTGGCCAGCAGCACAAGTGGGGATCCTCAGCCAGTGTCAAAGCAGACTAAGAGCCAGGCACAGGGGGGAATGGACTAGGGTCACATAGTGAATTCTAACATATTCTGGACTGTCAGAATTGTGTGTGTGTGTGCCAATCCTGGGACTTGAACTCAAGGCCTGGGCACTGTCCCTGAGCTTCTTCGGCTCAAGGCTAGCATTCTACCACTGGAGTCACAGCATCACTTCCAGCTTTTTGCTGAGTAGTTTATTGGAGATAAGAATCTCATGGACTTGCCTGCCCTGGCTGGCTTTGAACCACAGTCCTTAGATCTCAGCCTCTTATGTAGCTGGATGATAGACATGAGCCACCAGCACCTGGCAATGTCAGAATTCTTTTTTTTTTTTTTTCCGGTCATGGGGCCTGAACTCTGGGTCTGGGCGCTGTCCCTCAGCTCTTCAGCTCAAGGCTAGCACTCTACCACTTGAGCCACAGCGCCACTTCCGGCTTTTTTCTTTTTGCTTATGTGGTGCTGAGGAATCGAACCCAGGGCCTCAGGCATGCAAGGCAAGCGCTCTACCACTGAGCCACCTTCCCAGCCCCAATGTCAGAATTCTTGACACCTTTTGAATGTTTCAAATGGAAGCGAATCTGGTGACACAAAGTAGATTCATTAACCAAACTGTCCCAAAAGCTAGATGTCGGATAATGTAGAATTTAGAAAACAAGAAGAGGAGTGATGGATTCCAGCATGAATGTAAACTAGTAGCAGGTAGGTTTGATGGGAACTGTTCTAGGATCTACTCAACTAAATTCACTCATCATGCACCTATCCATGTGCTCATCTCTTTACTTCCACCCATCTATCCTCTCACTTTCCTATCTATCATCTATCATCCACCCGTTCATGCTCCCATTCTCCTGTTCATTATCCAGCCGTCCATCCAGCATCCATCCTCCTATTCACCACTAATCCATCTATCTATCCATCTTCTCATCCTCCCATTCATTCATCCATTCATTGTCCATCCAACATCCATCCTCATCGATCCATTCATCCAGTCACTCTTCAACCCTCATCCATTTACATCACGTACCAACTTCTCTTTCCTTTGCTTCCCCAAATTTCCCACTCCCATCTACTCCTAGCAGACTTTTGGAGGCACTCAGAGACGCATGTATAGCTGGGTACCAGTGGCTCACACCTCTAATCCTAGCTACTCAGAAGGCTGAGATCTGAGGATTTGTGGTTCTAAGCCATCCCAGGCAGGAAAATCCATGATCTCCAATAAACTACTCAGAAAAATCCAGAAGTAGAACTATGGCTTCAGTGAAAAAGATGGACACCAGTGGAAGTCATTTCTGATCTCTGCAAGCAGCTGAGTGGTGTCACGGGGTAGCAGAGACTGCAGGGAGTCAGTCAGCCTCCCTGGAAGAGCGGCATGCAGCCTGTGCACAGTTGGCATTGACATGTTCAGGCCTATTTAAGGATATTCTTGGGGTTCTCCTGACTAGGCAATGCTATAGGCAAGGCATCTGGGCTCCCCTAGGCAGGCAGGTCTCTCTTCGTCACCTCCCCAGGCCTCAGCCTCCCCCCTGGGGGCCAGGGCTGAGTAGGGAAGGGGGTCCTCCTTACCCCCAGGAGGTCCCGCAGCTCCGTTCTGAGGGGTCCTGGTCACCAGCCCCTCTGCTTTTGACTGGCTGCTCACAGTTCACCCTTATATAGCAGTTGTTGGCTAAGCTGGGAACTCAGATAGGGAAGCATTGTGTAATTCCGAGAGATCAATTACAAGAGACCGGAATTCAGATTTTCTCTGGAAATTGAGCATTGAGCCCCCAAACCACACGTGTTTGTGGTTTGTGGCTAATTCGAAGAGGTGTGCTCAAGCCCGGATGGCGGCACACGAGTTGGGTTTAATCAGTCGGGTCTGTTGCTAGACTGGAGATTCCAGATAGGTCCCCAGATGGACACATTGAGATTCAAGCCCCAAGGCAGGGACATCCCATTCTGAGGGGCCTGGGGAGGGGCAGGCTGGGGCTCTGTGGGGTTCTGTGGGGCTCAGCCCAACATGACCCAGGACCACACCCTGCGAACCCCTGAGTTGGTATGACCTTGTGCCCTCCACTGCTCTTCTTCCAGCTTCCCATTACTGTCTGATGCCTATCCCACAGGACTGCTTTGAAGCTAAAGCCTCAAAATGGGCCCAGACCTGTGCACCAGGCCCACATGATGCCATACTGAGTCACTGGTTCCTGAGTCTTTATGCTATCCCATTGTCCAGAACTGGGATGTGTGCTACAAATGCTTTTTGACAAATATATTGCCTTTTAAATGGAAATAAAAGGCAGAAAAGTCCACTGTGCCTCTCTCTAACCAAAAGCAGAGACTAACACACACTGCTAACAGCAGAAGGCAATGGCCACACATAGATGGCTGGCGTCTGTCCCTAAGCTCTCTGCCCATCCTCAGCCTGGAGTCTAACTTCCCTTAAGGCTGTCCTGACCATTCTGGAAGGCTTAATGCTATCTGGCACCAAGGAGATCACCTGGGCTTAGTGTCCAAAAGGCCCCTTTGTTTGGAGCTACAGCAATGTAAGGACACCCAGAGTCCTGGTGTGTGTGTGTGTGTGTGTGTGTGTGTGTGTGTGTGTGTGTGTGTGTGTGTGTAGAGAGAGAGATGCTTTAAAGGTGACTCTGCCACCCAGGGGGCCAAGTGTGTATGTATGTATGGGATCACACAGGAACTGCAGAGGTCAGGAAGCCTGCCATCAACCACTTCTGTCTGCCTTTGTCTCCCTCATGTAATAGTCAGCTTCCCACAGCATGGTAGGGGTTCCTTAATGCCTTGTTTGGCCCCTGCCCTAAGGGTAGGGGTTCAGAATGTGGATTTAGGCTGGAGATTGAGAAGGAACTTGGTTCAAATCCTGATCACGTCACTAGTTATGTAGCTTGATACGATACTTAACTCCTCTGCCATGCCTCAGTTTTCCCTATAGTTCCTAGAAGCCAGGTGAATTCAAGGAGTCGATAACATAAGGGACATAAAGCCCAGGCAGCAGTGTATGACAGCATGGGTGTTGACAAAGCAAAGCAAGGAAGACTTGCAGCATCAAAGGGAGGTATTTTGGCTTGCCTTGGGAGATTAGAGTCATTAGGATTTGGTTTGCGTTGTAAACACGCTTCTGTTACTTCATGGCTGTGCAATCACATTTCTCAGACTCCGGATCCATACATGTAAATGACATAGGATACATGAGAGAAACAACTTAAAGGAGGAAAGCTTTATTTTGGCTCGTGGTTTCTGAGGCTTGAGTTCATGGTTTGCCAGCTCCATTGCTTTCGGCTTGTGGAAAGGGAGAACATGGTGGCAGGAGAAAGTGGTGGGGGGAAAGCAGCTCTCTCATGGCAGTGGGGAAGCAGAGAGAGAGAAAGATGGAGAGAGACAGACACAGAGACAGAGACAGAGAGAGAGACAGACAGACAGAGTGACAGGGGGCCAAGGACAAGGTATCTCTTTCAAAGGCACTATAACTCACTTTGTCTAACCAAATCTGTCTCCCCTGAGCCCTTTCAACCATGAACATATCCAGGGTAAATCATTGATGAAGTTAGTGCCTCCTGATCCAATCAACCCTCAATAATGCCACCTCTGGGGACCAGGATATCAACACATGAGCCTCTGTGTATATGTGGCATATGTGTGTGTGTGTGTGTGTGTGTGTGTGTGTGTGTGCACTTTATATGGATAGAAATGGCCTGAGAACATTGTGGAACACAGTGTCTGGTGCAATGTTAGATATGGATGTAATACCAATCTCCAGGAAGCCGTTGATAAACATTAGCTGCTCTCAGCACTTCCTGCACAGCCACAAAGCTCACCATGACACAGCAGAACCCACTGTGACACCGCAGAGCTACCAAAAGCCATAGAACTCACCATAAAACCACAAAGCCCTTGGGGCTGGGGAAGTGGCTCAGTGGTAGAGCGCTTGCCTTGCATGTATGAGGCCCTGGGTTCGATTCCTCAGCACCACATAAGCAAAAAGAAAAAAGCTGGAAGTGGCGCTGTGGCTCAAGTGGTAGAGTGCTAGCCTTGAGCTGAAGAGCTGAGGGACAGCGCCCAGGCCCAGAGTTTAGGCCCCACGACCAGACCCCCCAAAAAAAGAAAAGAAAACCCACAAAGCCCATCAAGAAGAAGCAGAACTCACCACAAAGCAAGGGAACTGTAATGCCCACGTCGTAGGACTACCATCAAAAAGACCACTGAGAGTCAGACATTCCGAAATGCAAAAGCAAGGTGGGCTGCAGCTCGGGCTTCATCCTACACACCGACACAGCGGAACTTAGGAGGAAGGCCCTGAGCTGAAATTTCACAGGGCTTATAAAGGCAAAACCCACAAAGTTACAGCAACCAGATGTGTTATCAGGACATTCTGGGGCAATAAGGGATGATAGGGAGTTATCAAACCGTTTGGGCCAGGGCAATACAGGGCAGTAGGGGGTTATCAGACTGGTTGGGCCATCTGTGAAATGAGGGAAGTTTGTGGCCACACAAACAGATAACTCTGTCCTTGGGATTTATGTGAACTCTGGTTAACTTTGACACAGACAGGTCAGTTCCTAGAATTTATGTTCGCTCTGGGTCACTCATAGTTTAACATAAATGACAGAATGGCTGCTGCCTCAAAATGGAGTTACGTTAACGCTTCAGGAACTCGTCATGGTAAAGCAGAATTTACCATGAAGCTACAGAGCTCACTCAGACGCATCAGAGCTCACCACAACGCAGCAGGCCCTCCCTACATTTGAGGAGTCCTGGGTCAAGGACGAGAATGAGACCAGGGCAGGGCCCATTTGGCAAATGCAGCCATGACCCTGTCTTCTGCCTGGGCCAAGGACGCTGTATGAGGGACAGAAGGCCTGTGCTGGGCATGCCTGCTCAGGGAGATGG